AATATTATGATATGCGTCTACCTCTATTAAGTTGACTTTTTCTCTACTATTCTCTCTCTCTCACTCTTTCCCTGTCTTTTCCGTGGCTGCATTGTGACATGCCCGACTTCAGCTGGCGCAGTAGCTACATATAAATGTAGAAGTCAGCTCACTTGATTGTTGTTAGCTGCTGGCTTTGCCTGCGGACCGGCTAGTAGTTGCCTGTAGTTGGCCCCAATCTCTCATGGCATTGGGTTATTCCAGCTCTATCACTTGCACGCATTCACACAAAATTCATTTTTTTCCTTCTACTTCGTCTTCTTCTGCTCTTCTTTTTTTTTTTTTTTAGCTAAAAGTTTGCGTTTTAGCTTTAGCCAGATTTATGTTTTCCTGCTTGCGTTTGCAGAATTGTTGTCGGAAGTTTTTTGTGCAGCATCATGGCACACACACATATGTGTGTGTGTGTGTGTGTGTGTGTGAGTGTGTGTGTGGAGTTGGAGCAGAAGACAAAAAGTTCTAAAAAGATGTTTGCAAAATAAAAAGTGCACCCCGAAGTTTTGAGCAGCCACTGAGAATGAAACATGGTGGGGAGGGGCGACAGGAATTGGACAACAACAAAAACGAAAAGGAAACTGAGCCCAAAAATATGTTAAGAGTAGAGCTGGCAGAAACAGAAGCTCGAAGCTCGAAGCTCGCAAAGCAATTGCTGTAGCCGCATTGATGTGTGCCTTACGTACGACTTGGCCTTTGACTTGGGTCTCTTTCGCTGTCTGTGATTTCCACTCTAAAGCCGACTCCTGTGCCATCCTTGCCTGGTCCCTTTCGGTCCTGGGCATTAGCTCTGGCGTGTGCCTGATTAGCCAAGAGTGTGTGTGTGTGCGTGTGTGTGCTATGTTTCTCATGTTGCGCTCATCATTTTATGTGTGTGTGTTTTTTTTTTTTTGGCTCTTGGATTTCTGGGGATCTTTCGGTTTCTCGGTTATTCGGCATTCGGTTTCGGCTGCTTCACTTTCACTGCCGCCGCCGCAACATGTTGTCCAATTAGCCGACAAGGCACAGCACAGCGCAGTGCTGCCTCATTTTCTGTGCGCCATGTAGTAGTACTTCAAATGTCATGTTAGTGGCGCTGCCCCGCGGCCTACTCGACTACCAAGAAATACAAGTAGCTGAAAAGTGTATGTTTGGTCGAAAGTGGACTCATTAGGTTACTTCAAAAGGCTGACCTCATAATAATCACAGCCCCCGGGCATTAAGTTCAATTACATAGACCTACAGCTCCTTAAATTGGATGAAAAGCACATTAAACACAAAATAACCTTAATTTTGTACATATTTCCGCTGAAAGCAGTTCTCTATTGAAGTGTGTGCGTGTGCTGTCTGTCTTTAAACAGAGAACTAGCTCCACTTGTGTGATCTGTCAGTCAAGCTGTATGCTCTTCAATATTAGGCTGCAGTTGTTCAATTAAACTTGTATTTAGTTCAGCCTCCTGTAAAGTCCTTCATTCACTTTCAATCGCGCCTCTCACTCAATTGACTTCAGCTGCTGCCTTCAATCAATCTCAGCTCTATTTAACATCTGTCCCAGGCCCAACTTTAGCTAGACTCTAGCTGAGCTAGATCAAGCCTCGCCTCTCAATCATGAACTTGACTTAATCCACAGTGGCTTAACATTGTATTGGAGCATTCGATCACTGAGTTGGGCTGGCTCTGTGACCATCTCTGTGGCGGACAACGACCGTCATCAATCTCACCTAGTGGCTCAATCAATGCTTCTGACCTATGCGCTAGATATTTACGAGCTTTTCAGCAAAGCTTTTAGCTATCATTCAAGCCCAATAACCGCAAAGCTTAACCTCGCACACACACACACGCACACGCAGGCAAGTAACACATACGAGAGCCGACTGGAGGCTCGTTAAGCGCCTGTTAATGACGCAATTTCCGTGCAGCGACCACCGTGTGCGACCTTTGGGGTCAGAGAATGTTGCCCAATGCACAGCATATACATGTATATCGTACATACATATACATATATATAAGTATATATGTATATAGCACAACTTCCTCCGCTGGCTAATTAGCTTAGCGCAGTTAAACTGTTTGCTTATTGAACTACACGACTCGCACATTTCTATGGCATCGATGCGAATTGCCCGCCTTCAGTTACCAAACCGATGGGAAGCTCCACTCTCCCACTCTCCCTCTCACTCGACCATTCTGGAGCTGGGGTGCGGGCTTTGCCAAAATGGCAGACAATAAATAAAACACACACACATACACAGTAAGAAACGTACTATGGAGCGAAATAAAAAGTGGGGAGGGACTAGAAAGGATAGGATAGGACGGTTAGATTGCTGGAATTGCTGTCTACGAAACATGCCACAAGAACAAACATATTATATGGCAGATCCATAGACCCAAACAACGCATTCCTCTACACACAATTCCGGGCCATTACACTGAGAAATGTGACACAATTTGAATAACATTTAAAATATAAAATTGAGCATCAATTCGGCCCAAGAAATGGGCAACCAAGTGGTTGTTAAACCAGATACCAGAAAAAGAAAAACAACAAAAGCACACAAATGGTAGCTCTGGCCCCAGGGATACTCTGTATTAAATTGCGATTCGAATGAAATTTTCAGGGCTGAAGGCGGTCAAACTTGATATGTGTGGGCAAAATCAAGATTTGATTGTGTAAACTGTTCTAGAGGAGATATAGATCCATTTATAGTCATGGAAAGCGTATTACCGTCGACTTTAGAACTCTTAGCCTTTATGGAGCTATCATAATTCCGCTGTCATACAGATCCAATACACCGGTCTATGCAGGTAGTTATGCTTCTGTTATACAGCTGTTATACAGTTTTAGTTTTTGCTCTCTTTAATTCTGTTATACAGGTGCTTCGAATCTCATTATTGAACACTATATTCCATTGTTATATAGCTTCTGTCATACACCTGTCTATGGCAAATTATGCCAGCATATTGTATTCATTCTGTTATACATTTATAAGATTATGGACGGTCTTATAAGTAGTAATGGTATAAGAAACTGTTAAGTATCTACTGTTATACGGTAGTACTGTCATTCTTGTGCATTTTTGCACTGTTCTACAATTATACTGTAATACTGTTCTACAATTATACTGTAATACTGTTATACAACTATACTTTAATACTGTTATACTGTTATACAACTATATTTTAATACTGTAATACTGTCATACTAGTATACTGTTATACTATTATACTGTTATACTATTATACTGTTATACTATTATACTGTTATACGGTAAAATTATTTTGCTCTTTTATAAACTACATATAGCATATAGCTTTCACTATTTTACAGGGTATATGCAAAACGATAGAGCATGAAATTGTAGACCAGCTCCGCTCATCGCCTTCGGCTGCGCCTACACATGTTGCTGTGTTCTTTTATTGGTCGGATAACTGAATGAATCTTTGAGCACTCTCTGACTCTTTCTCACTCGCACACTCTCTCTCTCTCTCTCTCTCTCTCTCTCTGTCATTTTCACCCGCTCTCTCTTTCTCTTTCGCTCTGTCTGTGTCTGCAGCATTTTCCACTTTTCTTGTTTGCTTTTCTCATCTTATCTCGTCTTATTTTATTTTTATTTTTATTCTTATTTATATATGTATATATTTGTTGTTGTTGCTGTTGTTGTTTTGTTTTTGACTAAATTGCGTAAATTATTGGCATATGTTGTCTTCGGAGCGCGCCAAGAGGCGAGCGCAATGAAACATTTTAACCCTTTTCGTTGGCAACGTCGAGGATGTCGCTGAAATTGACAGTCGCACATTGTTGGGGCGAGGCTGATGCTAGCCCAGATGAAGTGGTGCTGGAGGAAGGGGGGAGTGAATGGTGTGACTTGAGTGGGGCAGCCAGATACTTTGGCATGGCATTTCATCCGACATTCTCCACCCGCCCGCCACGGCCACGGCAGGCCAGGCCAGGCCCTGCGGCTGCCAGTTGGCTGTCAGTTTTGCTCGCTTCTCGTTTTCTTTTGCCTCGCTCCTTGCGTTCTTGCCTTTTTTTTATCATTTATTCCCATTCTTTGGCATTTTATGTGCGCTATTTCGCGATGTAGAACAATAGCCCGACTAGCCGGGCCTGCTCTGCTCTCGACCGGCTTGTAGAATCCTCTCCGCCTCTCCGTTTGTCTGCCTGCCTTCTGCCTGCTGGTCCATTCATCCTTCTTCGGCTTGAGCTTCATCTTGGTGTGCTCTTTTGTTACAACTAAACGCGAACTCCGCACTATACTTCATCTGCTGCAGTTACTTTTTTTTGGAGAGAGCCGCAGAGAGAGTGAGAGAGGGAGACACTCGCAACCCTTTTTGCTGCTGCTGCTATCCAGCTTTATTGTCTTGCCAAAGAAATAGACTTTTAATACACCCGGAGCCTAGCGCTGGAGCACAATACATGGGTCTACTATTATATATATATATGTGTGTGTGAGATTGGGGTGTAAAGTGAGTGGGTGTGTGTGTGTGTGGAAATATTAGGCACTTTTGCCAGTTCATTGACTTGCCACAACAATAGTTTGAAGTTTGTCTGGTTAAATATGAGCGAACATTTTGGAACCTAACCCCGGAAAAAAAAGGATCAGGGCCAAGGCACGCGAAGGCGAGAACAAGATGCGAGCAACGCTGGCAACATGAAACCCCAGACATAATGGACCGGGCGTAGTTGAGCCAATAAACGAAGGGCTTCGACCTGAATGGAAAAGGATACGAAATGCAATGCAAACCGAACGCGAGGGCGTCAAGACAGTGAAAGGATGCTCGCTTTGCTCGAGCAGGTGTAAGGGATATTTATATACGATATACCCAAGCGACAATCGACAACTGGGAGCTACATAATTAAAAGACTAACGAAACGGAGATCAAAGGCAAGCGCACCAAGTGAAGATCTAGTTAGCCCTGCTTTATTCGATTCGACAATCGACGCTAGTCCGCTTGAGCTAAGGCGTTTTCCAGCACAGCTCACTCAACAGTCGAAGCAAGCGTTTGGCAACACAGAAATCTGAATAGCTCAGACATCGTACACAATTAACCACATAAAATATATAAACGAAATTCGAAAGTAATTTAAACATATTTTCGGCTATCTTAGGAGAAAGGAAGAAGTCCCATCTGAGCCGAGCGGGTAGCCGAGCGGAGTTTATCAGCCAATCATCAAGATGTTCAACAACAGGAATCAGGATCAGCAGGCAGCCAACCAACAAGAGTTGGACAATCTGGTGGACTACAGCTCGGGAGCAAGCAGTGAACTGGAGGACGTTCACATCAACATCATGAGCAATGATGACGGCATTTTCGTTCATACGACACCCAATAATAGCGAAAATCTGTCTGGGGTCTCTGTTAACGGTAGTGCAGTGCCGCCGAGTGAGAGTACGATCGTATTCAAGCAGCTGTTTGCCACACTCGAGGCGGAACATCAAAAGTTGCGGGGCCTGGAGCAGCGCCGCATTAAACTGACCGAAGAAATGAGAAATCTGCGCGATATGCTTCAGAAGGAGAATCGCCGATTGCGCAGCCAATCTCAGCAGCCGTTTACCCACTCAGATTCAACACCGACTACCTCTAGTTCAGCCAGGAAATCCCATCAATCCAAGTCTGCCAGGAATTTACCACGTGAGTATAGAACATCGAACTGAAGCCGAATTCAATTTCTATTAAACTGTTTCGATTGCCTCAGGTGATGTGGCAGGATCGTGCTTTAGCCGTGGTGTGACCATATTGGAGCACAATAAGGCTAATGATTCGCTGGTGTCGGTGTCGCTGCCGTTCGGGCTCGAGGAGCAGAAGCCACGCCCACAGGTTGGCGAAGTAGTCATCGAGATGATTGATCCCAACCCACAACCGCAGACCACCGAATCGTCTTCTCTCTGGCATACGCCTGTTACCTCAGTGGACATGGAAACCTTTCTACAAATGTCGAACACAACCGTAGCCCAATCAAGCACTCAAACATCCAAAAGCGATAAGTCCAGCCGCAGAGCTGATTGAGCGCATCATGCAAGACTAGACCTAGAAACGCGTGCTGAGTATAAATCATTTACCATATGCCGGGCCAAATCAATCCAAAGTTCACCAACAAATTTTTAGTATTTCGGATTCAACAATAGCCAAAAAGACATTTCAACACATTGATCAATCTATAAAATAAGAAAAAACGCACAATGTCTTTCCTTCCAAATGGGGGAGTGAAAACAATCATAGTTCAAGTTTAGACTGTTAATCGAGTTAAGATAATTATCGATATCGATATCTTTTGTTTTCTTCTGAATTTCATATTTATTGTGGATCTTATATCATCTATGTCGCCTCTGGTTAGTTTTGCTGATTTTTTTTGACCTCTCATTCGCAGTATAGTTCTCATTTTCTATAATTACTACTTTATTTATCTCTCTGTCTTCATCTGAGGTCTTTCTCTTTTGTTTCTCTCTATCTCTCGTTTGTCTGACTCACAGTTCCTTTAGTTCTCTAAGTCTACGTTTCCTTCCTATCCCTTTCCCTATTTCAATACCTTCTTTCTATTCTTCTGCTTTTACTTCTTTCTTTCCTCATCGTTTCCTTCTCCTCTGTGTCTCTTTTTTTCATTATATTTCTCCTTTTTATTTCTACTTCTCCTTTTTTTCTCCCCCTCCTTCTTCTTTTTCTTCTACTTGTCTCTCTCTCTTCTGCTCCTTCTTATTAATCTTCTGCTTGTTCTTATTCTACTTTTCTTATATATTTTTTCCATTCTTTTCTCCTTCTCTGTCTTTCTCTCCATCATTCTCTCTCTCTTACTTTCTGTGCATTTTGCTTGTAATTTTTATTCAATTTGTTAACCTTTGTACTTGGCCCTGTTTAGCTTGGCTTGAACTACTGCCACTGCTGCTGCTGTTGCTGCTTCTCCTGCTGCTGCTCCTGCTGCTCCTGCCGTCTATTTCCCAAACAAATTAGTTGCCAACTGTCCGAAACAAATGTTGCGCACAATTCGTTCGGCCCCTCGCACCCACTCCCACTCCCACTCTCTCTCTCTCTGTGTCCAATGTGTATTTAGGCATATCTTCATACATATATATAGAGATTTATATATATAAATAACAAATATACATTATTCTATATATAGACGCAATCATATGAAGCTCAGCATTTCAATCATAATGCTGCTGATGAGCTCAGTCAGCCCTGTGTGGATGCTGGCTGAAAGGCCGCTGGTCCAGCTGGACATTCAGCTGCTGGCATCTACATATATACTGCTTATATATATGTGTATTCCTCATCTTCTGCTTTATGCGGGGCATGTGCTGGGCATATTGATTGGTAGCCTGTGGCCCGCTTCTACAACTTCTTGTAGTTGCGCATTTGTTGCTTTTTTTTTTACTTCCTGCCTGCCTGCACTTTTGTTGTTGGCTCGCTACTTCAGGCTTGGGCGACTAGGTCAAGAGGTCAGGCCACATGTAGTGAAGGGGCCGCTTGGCAAATTTGTCAGTGGAAATGCGCACTCGAGTGGGCGGCATGGGCTGCCTTTTGGCATTCCTTCATGTGCCATGCAAATTTCAGTGCACAAAACTTTGTTGCAACAGCCAGCCCCAGCCCCCAGCTCCAGGCCCAGCTCTAGCTCCAGCTCCAGTCAGCTCGGCCTGCCGCCTCCTTCGTCAACAGCACAGGCTGCCATATTTCGCATATTTTGCCATATATATTTTTTTCTGGTTCCTTTTTTTTTTCCTGCCAACGCAAATGCACTTGAAGCTCTGTCGTTGCTGTTGCTGCTGCTGCAGCAGGAAGCCGGAAGCCGTAGCCGAACCCAAACAGAGCGCGGAACTTCTTGCAAGTAAACTAAACTAAACTAAACTCAAACCGAACCGAACCAGAGCTGCAACTGGAGCTGGAGCCGTAGCTGTGTAGCCGAGTGAAGCAAACAACTTTTGCCTGCAGCACCTGTCCCCAAAGGAGCCACCGGCGTAGGGGTAGAGGGTAGAGCGACGGAGGCCGGGCCTAAACCAACAACGCCCACAGAAATTACTTATGTATATTATTGTTGTTGCTCGCAGGGAGTCGAGGGCCGAGGGTGGGCAGGTCGTGAAGTAGGTCATTAGGGGCGTTCTAACTGTCCGCCCGCCGGGCTACTTGAATTATTAAATGTTTGTTCATAGAGAACATTTCCCAGGTCCTGCCAGTTGCAGCGACGTTGAAATGCTGAAAACTTTGCCCGAAAAAAAGCATACAAAAATAGAGACGTCGAGAATCAAAAACTCTCAACGGACTCTTAAATTCAGTTTGCCAGAATACCCTGTAATTTGGCAGTGGTGTAGGGAATATTAGCAATTTTATTTGAGAATACTAAGATCTTTGGAACTACTCTCCTCCCCCACTATTTTCCTTTAAAAGGCGAAATACTTCTACTGTCATTCAATCACTACATATCGCCCTCAGTATTAATAGGATAACTGCTAGTCGAGCACACTCGCTTACTTATGAACTTGCAGCAATTGTAGCCGTATTTCAGCTCAATTGTACTCATATCTTACCAATCATTGGCCAAAACTTGAATCCAAGTCAACTTACCTGTGGAAAGGAGAAATAATTTTGATTAGCAATTAGTTGGGCAATAGTAATTGAAGGTAGTTCTTAGTGCTAGACAATTACTCGGCTTTCAAACTTAACTACATAAAGAGCTGTTGATTGAGTGAAGAAATTTTAATATCTAAAGATCGTATCTTAGGAGTATATAATTTGAATAGATGTGATGGGTTTTGGATAGCTTAAAAATAAGTTTATTATCAAATAATACTATATATGATATAATAATATCATGAATATGCATAAATATAATCAAGTAATTAGCCTATAATATTATTTATTTATGCATGGAATATTATTTGTAAAGACTTCATAATGATATAATATCAATGAAATATTTATTAGTATATATTATTATCTAATAGCTCTTCTAGCCCTCTAGCCCTCCTCTGAAAATATTTCATATATCATATATAATTTGGTTAATTTCTCCTAGAGTTGCCCTCTAACAGGGTATTCCCACAGCTAAATTCTTATATAAAATATATATCCTCAATCTGTCTTAGAACTTTCCCTTAACAGGGTATTCCCACAGCTAAACTCAGCCTCAACCTGCACTCAGGTAAAATACCTGCTGCATTTATGCAAGGTAATTGTCTTTGGGTCTGGCAAAGTAGATTTCTCTCTCTCTCTTTTTAGAGGGGGGCAATCCATATGCATATAAGCCGGCTCTGCCTGTGCCACTATTGGAATTGTCCAATAAAAATTAATTGGAGTTTGCATTTAATAAAGCCTGGAAACCATTGCCTTGCCAACAAAATAGGGAACTACGCACAGACAGGGCACCACGAAAAATGCTAACCCAGTTTGGCTGGCCCCAACAACTAGAGCAGCTCTACCTTTCTCGCTCTCGCTCTCTGTCTGCTTCCTTTTCACTCTAGCTGTTGCTGAGTGTGCTGTGCACAATGTATTCACTAGAGCATCATCATAGATGCATCCACTCAGTCGTTGTTATATTGTTGCCAACACCCAACTTTCAACTCCCCAGCTCGCACTGTCTCTATCTCTCTCTCTCTCTCTCTCTCTCTCTCGCTCTCTCTCTCTCTCTCTCTGCTCAGCTGCTCATAAAACTCACTCAAGTAAAAGTACGAATGGTTTTCGATATGAAATGCATGGAACTGACAGCCAAACATATTGCGCCGCATTTTTACCATATAACAACAGCAGTTGAGGGAGGGGAGGGGGAGACACTACTCTCCTCCATCACCATTCCCCACTTCAACCCCTTTTACAGACTGTCTGACGACTGACTGTTGGTTACCATTTGGCCATTGCCTAGCTCTCGCTCCTTCCTCTTCGCTGTGCACATTTCGTTTTTGATATGCGAGATATGAGCCTGAGCGCTGTTCCTATCAAGCACCTACCCCGCCACCTCACCGCCCATCCGCGCCTCGCCAGCAGCCCGCCAGCTCGCTCATAGCTGCGGACTGGGGCTATTTGGCATTGTTGAAGCTTGTTTTATGAAAAGGAATATACACAATATCCATATGCGACACACGCGCACCACCCACACACACCCACACACACACTCACACCCACATTTATATACAGTTAACCCACTCAACCAAATCCCAGCGCCCCCACCCCGCCCACTCCCCAGCCTTATCATATCAAAATGCATATTGTACACTCGACAAGATACTCGCGCGCATTATATGAAACGTTCTTCTACCTCTCGCTCTCTTTATCTCTCCTCTTTCTCTCCTTCTCCTTCTCGTTCTCTCATGATATGCAACTAGGCAACTCGACGATGGCTTGGTGGGGCAGTGGGTGGCTGTGTGCCACTTATAGCAGGTCAGCCTTTTATGCTGTATGCTTAAGAATGGGCATTAAGTTAAGTGGATGTATTCATATTAGCTGTTAACTAGGCTACGAGCTCTGCTAGCTTAGCTCACTCTAAGAGCCAACTTGTTGCTCAATAATGCTTGACGTGCACTGGGCTAATCGACTCTGCTATCGATAAGTGCACGGAAGCTGTTCGATTAGTTTTTATTCAACCTCTAAAAATTTAAAAAGAGAGGAATCAATGATGTTTTACAGACAGAGAAGACATTCGATAATTATCGATAAATTACAAAAATGAGAACAGTGCTCATATATCAAAAAGTTGCGTATATATATATAGTAGATCTTAAACTTATCTTGAAGAAAAGTATAATAAATAGCTTAGCTGCATTTAACTTAGTTATTGTTATCGATATCTTTATCGATAAACAAAAGACATATTCATAGCATAGCTTAATATTTACACAATTATTAATTATTAATAAGTAATATATATACATATAAACTTTCTATGATTTCGTAATCGATAAGATAATCGATACACTAGATATACATACTTAACAACTGTAAGGCATACTCATAGAACTACTTATCGATTTTCGAAAAGAGGCATTTAAATAAAATAGTTTGTAGACCATTTTGCTAGTTCATTAAGCTATCGATAATTTATCGATACATATATATATTTATGATATTTACCTGCTGGAATGGTTCGGCTCATGCGCAAAGGGCTCGGCATAGATATTACGCACCGGTGGCACGCGTCGCGGCAATGGCGGCGGCACCGGATTATAGCCATCCATAATTGTATCACAATCGGAG